CCCACGGCGGCGGTGACACCCCAAACCACCCCAAAATTTAACCACACAATCTCCAGCCTCCCCTCATCCCTATCCTACCACCAATTTCCCCAAATCCCCACCCATTTTCTTCAATTTCAAATCTGAGATTCCAAAAAGAAATAAAAACCCTAATCCGTTCCTCTTTCTGATTTTAATGGTTTTCAAGGCTTGATTCGAGCCGAAATTTATGCCAATCGATTGTTCTCAGTAAGAACAATCGATTAGTGTCATTTTCGGCCTATTTCGAAGTTCGCCGGATTCCGGCAAGTCACTGCTGACCAGCAGAGTTCATCACTTTCATCGTTTCGTCGGTCTACTTCATTCGTCGTCACGTTTCCGGCCCAAAATCAGTATACCCTTCTTCTTTTGTTTTTTTGTTTGTTTGTTTTCTTTTCTGTTCAGAAATCATCGTTTAGATTTAGTTTTTGATTTGTTTTGTTAATTGTTTCTGATTGTTTAGTTTGATCGTGTTGTTTAGACTAATTAAATCAATCATAGTTAACTCAATAATTTACTTTGGTTTTAATTAATAGAATTAATTCTGCTTTGTTTTATCTCTGATTTCCTTTGCCTCAATTATTTGTTTGTTGATGTTTAGAATGCACAATTGGAATCTGGGAGAGTGAAAGGGTAATAACAGAAATTTTAGGGGGGGGGGGGGTATTGGAAACCAAAATCAAGGAGTCTAAGTCTTGAATTGTCTAGGAAGTTTCTAGAGAAAAGACTAAAGTGTAATAAAATAACTAAAACTAGGTCAGATTGGGTTAAAAAACAAGTATGTTCAGAAGTAAATGGACCTAAAATACATGAGAAAGATCTGTATAAACAGAATTCCCAAAATTTCAGCTGATAGAATTCCCAAAAGATTCCCTCACACCCCTCTGATTTTTTCTCACAAAAGCACACTCTTATATTCTATATAAAGAGCCATATATCACTCACACAGATAGACCTACACACAGATTTTTGGATATGGATTATACACGGAAAAACACTCTGAAAATTTCCTATTCTCTTCATTTGGAGACTGGTTTTAGACACTAATAGACTGCATTTTCAGGGATTCCATTCTTTTCATCTTCATTTTGAGTAGAAAAAAAACCTTCTGGGATTCCAGCTTTAGAGTTTTAGAGAAAACATTTTTTTTTTTAAAAAGAAAGCTCTTTTCATCTTTTCTAGGGTTTGAAGTTGGGTTTTCTTGGCTTCATTTGCTGCTGATTCTTATTGCTGTTGGTTTTCTGTTGCTGATTTTGTTTCTTGTTGCTGCTCTTTCTAGTTGTTCAGAGATTTATTTTTCTTTGTGTTCTTCTTTTCTGCTATCCAGGTATGAAAATCTGATTCATGCTAAGTCATGTAACTAATGCCAGATTATTCTAATGATATGAGTTGCAGTTTGTTTATGTATGTGAAAGTATTCTTTAATGATGTTTGCTAATTTGGCTTGACCTTCAATTGTTTTGGTGATTACATCTAGTATAGTCCTATGTACAAAGGCTAGCTTATTTGAGAACTGTTGCTGAAATTTTCTGCCATGTCTTAATGTTTCATGTGTTGGCATTTTGAAATTGATTAGTTATTCAATTAAAGTTAAAATCAGATTGGAAATTTTCAGGTCACTTTGAGTTTAGAAAAGCATCAGCAGCACCTTATGATTTTGATTATGGCTAAATGGATTCGGAGTTCAAACCGGCATAAAGTTATTTGTTGTCTTAGTAGTTAAAAATAGTTGAAATGATTCTTCCAGTTTAGAATTCAGGTTGTTCTTGTAAAATTAATTTATTGTGTGATGATTTATTTGTGCTCATTTATGTAATAAAAGTAGTTGCAGTAGTATTCAATTTCAAAGTAAAGTGAATGTGAGGCTGTTTATGTAAAGCTAGAATAGGAGGATCCATTCCTATGTCTATATCTCTGTTTCGTTTCAACATTGAACACATATATTTTGTCTTCCACTGTTCTGATTCTGAAATTATGATAGTTTATTCAACTCAATTTTGATAAACCATGAATCTTAGATTATATAGCCATCTAGGCTCGAAAATGCCTTCCTAGGAGTTTGTCAATGTTACAGGATGGCCCTTTTACAAAGAATTGGGACATTTGGGCTTTTCTTACCCAAAAGCCCACTTGTTTCCCCTTTATATGTGGATTAATTAAGAGAAACTTTCATAAACCACTGTGTAGTGGTTATTAGCTAGTTGTAACTACCATTTACTATATTATTTCCTATAGTTACGTTTTCAGAATTTTTAGAGTGTATTCGATGTATTTAAGCTACTGCATTCATGAATACAGTAGCATTTCTAGGCGTGAAACAGGGGATTACAGCTGGACAGATTTTTGTATTCGAGTGTATTCGATTGTATTCATGGCGTGAAACATGGGATTACACCTGGACAGATTATTGTATTCGACTGTATTCACGGCGTGAAACAGGGGATTACATTGTTTTTAAACGGAAAGTGAATAAATTAGCATAATAGACTTCTAATATAACTCAACAAACTCAATTATAACACACAAATTTTGTATTTTCATTTATAAAAAAGATTCTCAATCGAAAAACACCCCAAAAACATAACAATCTTCAGAGAAATTATATAATACATCTGAATACATAAATTATATTAACTAAAAAAATATATGAATACATTCATGGAATATAGAGAGACAATGAATACAATGAAATACATAGAATACAGCGGGATACATTGAAATACAATGAAAAAAAAGACAATGAATATAATAAAATACAGCGAGATACATTAAAAATATATTAATAGAAAATTCAAGTTGCTCAGCCCCCAACTCCGTCGTCTTTGTTCAAGAACAACCCTAATGTCGTCTCGTTGAAGCATCATCAGTATACAGTCCTCGCTCGCCGTCACCGTTGCCTCTGGTTGCCGACGATTAGCACGTAATTACCGGCGAAATAACAGAGGTTTTTGTTGATCAGATACGTTGCGTCAAAGAATGAGATTAGGAGGCTGAGGGCGGCAATATCAATGAATAACGGCCACGGTCGAAACGGTGACGGTGGTTGGGCGTTCTTGGAGAAGGGGAATGGGAAGGACGGCTGCTGCTCTCTCAAGAAGGAGGAGATCTATCCTCCATTGAAGAGAATGAGAACGAGATGGGGCTGCCAGTGGGTGAGAAATTGGGGGTGAGCAGCTTTTTTAGGGGTCCTCGGCTGAAGCTTTTGGTTAGGGATAGGAGAAATTTGAGTGGAGAGAGAAAAATAATACAAAGCTTATTTTATGGCTTAAGGGTAGGAGGTAACCATAAATAGATATTTGGCTATAAAAAAGCAAACGGTAGTTATGAAATATAATTTTTTGAAAGAGTATTTATTTAAAATAAATAAGGTATTATCCTTTGGTGTAGGAGGTAACTAATCAAAGTCTTAGCTTCTTTGTATGCTTTCTGCCTAAAAATGTTGTATCCACATGAACCTTTTCAATATGACTTTGAAATTAGGAAGCTAAACGGTGTGACTTTTGAACATCCGTAGAATGGTTTCTTTTAGGCACGCGTTTATCGAATTATTGTGATTATATATATGTTCGCGTGATATAATTACGATTTCGAAAATGAATACACGTAGAAATGCTCTAAGACGCGGCTTAAATTATTATTGTGATTGTGTACACGTTCGCGTGACATAATTACGATTTCCAAAATTAAATCGAGGAATGCATTCGTGCAGCTTCGGCCAAACAATCTTAAATTAATAAAGCGTGACTAATTGTGTACACATTCGCATGACATGATTTTAGCGCCCGGAACAAAGTGGATTTACACACATGTAATCTGTTTCAAAGATTAAATCCATAAACGCCATAATTAAAAGCGGTAAAAAGGTAAATGTACATAGGTTTTAAAATGAGTAATTAAACAATTTAATTAAGCCAGGTATGATTAAAGCGACCGTGCTAAAACCACGAAATTCGGGAGTGCCTAACACCTTCTCCCGGGTTAACATAATTCCTTACCCGATCTTCTGGTTTTGCAGACTTTAAACGGAGTCAAATTTTCCTCGATTTTGGATTTAAAATAAATTGGTGACTTGGGACACCATATAATTATCCCAAGTAGCAACTTTGGAATGAATAAATAATCCCATTTCGATTAATGTCACTTTAATTGGAAAAGCTCCCTATCCCCTCGGGAAAAAGGAGGTGTGACAGACTCCATTAATAGCAATAGTGTAAAGATTATTTACAAGAACAACCTTCTCTTTTTTTATATACATTGTTAAAAAATATATTTTTAATATCTCAAAAAGAATATTTAAATTGATGTCTAGGTTCATTCTTTTAATGTGTCTTTATATGACCAATCAATTTAAATATAATATTTTATTAACATTAAATAGCTATCAAAATCAGTTATTTTTTGTAACTTTGAATCTGATCAAAAATGATCTTGGATAACCGTTTCCTACAAAATCAGTTATTTTTTATAACTTTGAATCTGATAAAAAATGATCTTGGATAACCGTTTCCTAACATTAATTTGGATACCATTTCTATTGGCTTTAAATGAGCTTTACGTTAATAGCATTTAGTGATTAACTTATGGAATCTATAACTTAAAAATGATTTAATGTTTTGACATTTGAATACTAAATGAATTTTAACGTTTTTTACATTAGATATCCATTTCATTTTTGGACTACATATATAGATGTTTTCTTGTGTTCATTATGTGATAGAGGGCAAAAAATAAAACTTTTTTTCTCCTTTTTCCTCTTGTGCTGGGTTTTCCTTTATACAATCTTTGTTGTTTCTGCTCCTAGTTATACTAGAAGAGCTTGTTGAATCCTGGGGGATACGCCAAATATTATTCATTTCGGTGTAGGCGAAATATCCTTAAGGACAATGTCTTTAACATGCCTCAAGCTAAACCTTTTATTCTTCATAATCATCAAATTTTTCCAACAAACATTTGGTGCAAAATTGAACAATAATTTGTTTTATCTTCACTTAAGAATTTATATATTCTACAATTTCATGAGATAAGAATAGATTTTTATGACTCAATACTAGATTGGTATGTCCAAAGTATAGATCAAAGATTTCGATTTGAGATACTAGTTTGACAAGGACAAAAAAGACATATAGTCGCAAATAATTTTTTTTCATCAAAATAATTTGTAAAACTTGCTATTCAACCTCTTGCATAAATGTAGGGTAAGACTGCATACAATAAACGGAAAAGAGTTCAAAATGCTCCTAAACTATTGGAAAAGGTTTAAAAATACCCTTCATCCACCTATTAGGCTAAAAATGGCCCTCTATCCACCTTTTTGGTTCACTTATGCCCTTTGACCGTTAGGTCAAAATTGAATTAAAAATAATAATTATTATTTTTCTAAAAAAAAAAATATTTTACAAAAATTTTCTCTATAAACTAATGCACCAGTAGTCCACTAATTTAGTAAAGTCTTCTTCTTCTTTTTTCAGTTTTTACAAAAAATAATTCAGTTTTTACAAACAAAAAAAAAATCAGTTTTTTTAAAAGCATTGTTTTTGTAAAAACTGAAAAAAATTGTAAAAACAGAAAAAAATATTTTCAACAAAATATTTTTGTTTCTGAAAAATATTTTTTTTCAGTTTTTTTAAAAAAAACGAAAATATTTTTTCTTTAAAAAAAACTGAAAAACAAAAATAAAACGAAATGCTTTAAAAAAACTGAAAAATGAAAAAAATATATTTTATTAAAATTTTTTTTTCTGTTTTTACAAAAACAAAATTCAGTTTTTACAAAAAAAAAATATTTTTTTTTGTAAAAACTGAATTGTTTTTTGTAAAAACTGAAAAAAATAAGAAGACTTTACTAAATTAGTGGACTATTGGTGCATTAGTTTAAAAAATCAAAAATAATTTGCAAAATATTTTTTTTAAGTTTTACAAAAAGAATAATTATTATTTTTAATTTGGCATTGACCTAACGGTCAAAGGGCATAAGTGAACCAAAAAAGTGGATGGAGGAGTATTTTTAGCCCAATAGGTGGATGAAGGGTATTTTTAAACCTTTTCCAATAGTTTGGGAGCATTTTGAATCCTTTTTCCGTTCAATAGACCCTTGAGCTACTGCTCTTTCCGGACCCTACACATAACGAGAGCTTAGTGCACCGGATCACCCCATAATCAACCGAAGAATTCAAAAATACAAGCGGTTTGTCTCCATTATATTTAAGATATCAAAATTTTCACTTCTAAACCAACTCAATTTATATACTCCCAGGTTCCAAATGAATGGCAGAATTTGAAGTTTGAACTACTGTGGTCAGTATATCTAATTTTCAGTTAATCCAGACCTTGATTATTATTATTTTTGAAATAAAATTAGTTTAATTAGAGCATACAAAAAATTATTTCAATTAATCATGATAAAAATAAATATGGTGTCCTATAAATGGTAATAATAAAAGTAGTCCCTTGTGTTTATGTGCTGGTTTAACAACGTTTTTTTATATGTTCGACGGTTCCAGTAATCTCAGTCCTTTAAGTTTGTCAATATCGAGCATCTTTTTTCTCTAAAAATACGACAGTTATTTTTAATGGAATTGGCTCAAAAGTGTTCTTTTTTTTCTTTTCTTTTTTGGATTATGGATTATGGATTTTTTGTCAAGACCCAAACCGATGGACCGCGACGGGCACCCGGTACCTTACTCAACCGAGTACCAACATAATGTATCTTTTCATGTCATACTATCATAAATAACTGAGCCGGAGAGGTTGCCGTGAAATAGGTAGGATACAACATGTAATACCACTCTATACATTGGACATACGGGCCTACAAGCCCAAAATAATCACTCGTACCTTGAATATAGGCCGACAAGGCCATACAATATCTTACGTACATGACATCTGTCTACAAGCCTCTAAGAATATGAAATTTTCATAAAGGTCGGGACAGAGTCCCGCCACCAAACAATACACGTCTAAATCATACCAACCAAACAAGCAACTTTGAAGC